ATCAACCAAATTGTGTTTTTTTATTCAAATTTATTATAGCCACCAAACTCTTTTGCTTGAGGATATAGAAATATTATAAATTACATAAATTGTTGCATTGTATGTATAAACTAGGACATAGCACAATCATTAAATTTTAAAATATGGAACGCAGAAACATATATAGCTTCTCCATATTTAATTTATACTGGAGCATTATTTAGTAACTTCCAGCTGACAAATGTTTTATGCCATTTAAAAAGAAACACAATTTGCATAATTAAGACAGCTCACTCTCAATCTTCACCTCGGCCCACATATAACATTCCCAGAAATAAATCAGACAGGAGAGCCAATTTGGTTAAACAGTTAAGGTGCTGGCCTAGAAACCAGGAGATTGTGAGTTGTAATTCTGCTTTAGATATCAAAGCTGGTGGGGTAACTCTGAGCCAGTAACACTCTTTCAGCCCAACCTTTACATGTGTTGTGATGAAAATAGGAGGATGAAATTTTAGACATGTTTGCCATCTTGAGTTATTTATAAAAGTGGGATATAAACAATAAAATAAAATAAAGCAAGAGAAAGATGATGTGAATCTATTTTAAAATAATCTTTGCAATTATAGAACTAAAATTTAATTACTCTCTCACAGCTTTGGGCCAAGCTCCCAATTATGTATTTATTTTCAATTAAAAATTCAGACTTAAATAGTATACAGATTTTATGAAAGCCTAAAGAAATTAATACATACTGTTTAGATTTGGTATAAACTTAAGCCAATTATAAATAGAACTGAGATTTACCAATTAGCATGTTATGTAGTCTGTGTGAATCTTCTTCACAGTTATAGAGAATCAATACAAATTACTAGAAATAAATACAAGCAAATTTAGTAAAATTTACTTCTGAATAAGGAAGATTAGAATTTTGAAAAACTAAATAGCCCACCCTCCAAACACCTACCAGGAAATACTTCGGCTATAAATGCACAAACCAGTTTTTCTAGATTATGCTTTTTTTTAAAAAAAAAAATCATTTAGGTTTCAGAAACTACCACCCTGATTTCAAGTTCCTCACATAACAAAACACTGAAATGGATAGTCATCCAAATATGCACAGAATATTAATTTAACTTATAAAGCTTTACAGTAAAACTGAGATTTGAGAACCTGTTATTATTTCTCATGACTAACAAACTAAAAAGACCTTTTTTTAACCATAGTTTGTTTGAATTAGTGACTGCATTTATCTAACTTGCTAATTAAAAATTATGGATTACAAAGCATAATGATAATGTTCACACATGTTAAGCAAAAATCAAACATACCAGATTAAGGCTAAGCATGATGCATGCATTTATTAAGGAGCTCTATGGCTAAGACAACAATCTAGCATTGAAAAAAGTTAGCTATGGTAGCTTGAAAAAAGTAATAAAATATATAAGCAGTTCAATAACTGCTCAAGCATTTATTGTTTTCTTTTAGAGTTTGAGGTATAAACATTAACTATCATAATTGCATCTACAGTGTTTTATAACAAGATAGCAAGGAGTCCTTCGGGATTGGGCGGCATATAAATTCTAATAATAAATAAATAATAATAATAATAAATATAATAATCACAAGACTCTCAAGCTACCACTTAACAAAGGCCGAAAAGATTTAGATTCAAACCATATTATGATTCTACAGCAAATCATTTGATATCAGGTAAATTATGCCACACATTTATCATCCATTGTAAAGAGTTTCATTTTATCATGGAAACTAAAATTTTCATTCACTTCTGTACTATATACAGTTACTTATACAGTACTGAATAGCTAATTTATTTGCTAATCCCATCTGAAGAATTAAAACAAATGTCACACAAAAATTTTGCTGGTGTCAAGCAAAGGCAAATAGTATTTTTTTTCTTTTAAATTTGTTATTTATAGGATGTAGTGACCATTCTGATCAGAACCAACTTCAAGCACCATATTATTTCCTTTTTGAAAACAGGATAAAAACATAATCAATGATCACTCAGGATTTGTAATTTAAACAGTATTCAAATAGATCATCTTGCAGTATTTATATACCGGCACAAAACAGAAAGGCCTGAAAGGTTAAAGATAATCTATCAACATTATTTCATCAATTCTTGATAGAAATCTTTATATGGTCTTCTTAGTGTATGAAAGACTGTTCTGTGATCAAAAGTTCCACAGTGCAGCAGAATCAGAAATGACATATTAAGCCATCCATTAATATACTACTCGTATTAATCACCATAAATAGGATAAGTAGCTTCTTTATACTAGAAAACTTATAAAACAGTTGCATTCATCCTGTGTGTTGTCAAGAGATATCACAATTTCTAATTTAACTCTTTGAAGAGGGAATCTGTAACTCATGTTTATCCATAAATTAATCCCACTCTTTTAAATAACTGCTCTTGGCAGTAATCTGAGAGTATCTCACATTGCCAAGGAAAGCCATGAACACACCAATTATAAAGTACATACTCTGAGGGTCATTGTCAACTGAATATTATTAAACTAGTGTGGGTGCTATTGTCCAGCTGCAGAATAACAGAACATTGTCATTTAAGTTTATTAACTCAAGGTTGACTCAACCTTCCGAGGTCAATAAAATGAGGAACCAGACTTGAGGACAATGTGTTGACTGTAAACCACTTAGAGAGAGTTGTAAGGCACTATGAAGCGGTATATAAGTCTAAGTGCTATTGCTATTCCCCGTGGGCTGGACTCATTTTTAAGCATTCCATTCAGGTGCCACTGATCTGCATATAAAAACACAATTATCCAAATGTCCGCATATAATATGTACAACAACAAACATACATGTTTATCTATGTTTAATCACAGGAAACTGCAAGAATAGGCAATTACTCAACTTAATAAACATACAAAGGCAGTTTTAAGTACAAAACACACCAGTTTATTCATTGAAAAATGTTTACAAAAAGAGACAGAGGGTGGAATAAGAGAATTAAACCCATACATAAGTCTATGCACCATTGTTTGAATGTAGAAATAAAAACCTGCTAAATGACCAGTGGTAAACGAATATCTTTTGCGCTTGATGTTTGTGTTTGATGTAAAAATAAACTGGAGTATTTCAAAGGGTTTTAATATCTACTAAATCAGCCCACTTTGCTTGTGGGGGGGAGGAGAGGGGGGGGGATAGGACAACTTTTCCCAGCTTACGGTTAATTTTTCAAATGTGCCATAGGCTACTCTTTTATGGTTTTGAAAAATGTAGATTGTCAGCTCACGGAGACCCCTGGCAAACAGGGGGTCAGGCAGAATTGGCATTCACTATCTTATTTGCTTAGAAGATGATACTCAACAGGTCAATTTCTTTAAGTGGGAAATTTTATTAGCTCATACTGACAAAGACTACAAAGGAGATTCAGTTTCTCTTAAACTTTATTGGCAGAAGCCTCTTTAAGCAAAGTTTCACAAATAGGTCTAAATATGATCCAATTTTGGATCCTTAAACAAAGTTCTCTAATTCCACAGCTAAGTCCATATGGCTACATGTAGTCCTCAAAATGAACACAATTGAGCGAACAGTTTGTTGCTATGTGAAACATTTGTTAAGTGAATTTTTCTCTATTTTAAGACCTTTTGTGCCACAGTTAAGTGAATAATTGCACTTAAATTAGTAACAGGTTAAGTGAATCCGGCTTCCCCATTGACTTTTCTTGTAAGGAGGTTACAAAAGGTGATCACAGAATCCTGGGAGACTGCAACCATCATAATGAGTCAATTGCCAAGCAATCAAATTTCGATCATGTGTCTATGGGGATATTGCAACTGTCATTAAGTGTGAAAAAACAGTCATAAGAAATTTTTAATGCCATTGTAACTTTAAGCTGTCACTAAATGAACTGTTGTAAGTCGAGGACTACTTGTATAACATGGTTTGTTAAATCAGTTATAATTGGCTAGGCTTACTCAATATGCTAAGTTGGTAAACCTAACAGATCACACTGCAGTTGAATGCAGTGTATATAGAACCTTGGCAATAATGAGACTTTATATTACTATTAGATTTATATTCCATCTTTATATTTGTACAACTCAAGGTGGCATATATATAATATTCAACTTAAGAAAACGTTACCATATGTATACAAGACTCATTTAAAAAGCACTTGTATTGGCCCCAAGACACAACACCTAGATTGCTTGCATTAAAACCACAATCTCTACATGGATCTGGCTTTTTTCCCATTCAGGTTTCCTTGTTTTCCTTCAGTATGTTTGTTTTATGAAGTAGAGATCTCTACACCAAGAGCAGACACTCAACTCTCAAAAGGAAGAGAAACAGAAAGCAAGAATTGTCTGGGCAGCACTTATAAGAATCACCTGAAAACAGGTAAAGCAAAACAAAAAACAAAAAAACCCATAATACTGAGGAGCTCATTGTTTGCTTTTTAGCCTAAGGTCTCCACCTGTAAGACAACTAGTTTCAAGTTAAAGCATTCCTGAAATACCATCCACCATGGTATTTCATGCATTGAAAGAGGCAAGAATGCCCAGGACCAGAGTCTTTATGAGGGCCAAGGACCCTGCAAACTTTAATCCTAGTTCGAGTATTCACACCTTTCCCACTGGGCTTGTAAAAGATCTATTTATTCATATTAAATGTTATTTATTTAATAACATAACATAACATTTATTTAATAAAATAAATAAATGTAAATGATTTACATTTTATGTATTTTATTCAATGTTATATTAAATGTCATATGAAATACACCGCCCATCTCGCAATGCAAAGGCAACTCCGGGCGACTTATTTTGGGGACATCACCATCTCATACACACCCACACATACCCTCGCCAAGACCCCCCAAAATAAAATAAAAATCTCTTCCACTTTAAGGCTTCCCGATTCATTCGTTAAATCATCTTTATCGGCTCCCGCCCGCATCGGAAACACCCTGGCCCGATACCTACAACTCTCTTCCCCTCTGCCAACCTCCACCCCGTTTCACCCCCACTTACCGCGCCTATTTTTTGAAGCCCGGGCAGAGCGCGTGCCGCAGAGACCGACCGAGTTGGAAGTTGTTAAGTCACCGCCGCTTCCCTTCCCCACCTCAGCGGAGCCCGGCTCACCTTTTCGACACGGAGTCCACCCTCCAGCGCCACTCCCCCCACATCCGTCCAAGCGAGCCTCTGCGCTTCCTTTCTCTCCCCACACCCAATCCCTCCGAGGAGCCTCTTCACCTGCCAGCCCTTTTCCTCTCCCGAATCCGGGCTACCCCCCCCCCCCCCCCCCCCCCCCCCCCCCCCCCCCCCCCCCCCCCCCC